GTACAACTGAAAGAAGAAAACACAAGGGGAAAGCTCCATTATTTTGGCCTGAACAATAACAGAAAGATAGCTGGAAAATCTCAAATTACTTGGAGATTAATCAACACACTTCTAAATTACACATGGGTCAAAAAAATCAAGAGAAATTTAAAAATATTTTGAATTAAATGAAAATGAAAATATAGCTCATCAAATTTTGTGGGATGCAGCAAAAGTAGTGCCTGGGGAAATTTAGAGCATTGTATGCACATATTAGTAAAGAGGAAAGCTCCAAAATCAATAATCTTCCACCTTGGAAAACAAGAAAAAGAAAAGCAATTAAACCTGACGTAAGCAGAAGACAAGAAATAACAATTAGAGTAGAAATCAATGAAACTGAAACAGGAAATCAATAAAGAAAATCAACAAAACCAAAAGCTGGTTCTTTGAAAAAAATCAATAAAATCAATGAGCCTCTAGCCAAGCTAACTAAAAAGCCAGGGTGGTGGTGGGAAGGGCAAATTACTAACATCAGAAATGACAGAGGAGACATCACTACAGATGTCACAGACATTAAAAGGATAATAAAAGAATTCTATGAACAACTCTATGATCACAAATCTGATAACCTAAATGAAATTGATCAATTCCTTGAAAGATAAAATCTGCCAAAACTCACACAAGAAATGACAATCTAAATAGATCTATATTTATTAAAGAAGTTGAAACAATAATTAATAAACTTAAAAATACAGAAAATTCCAGGCCTAAATGGGTTCACTGTTGAATTCTGTGAGCCATTTAAGGGAGAAATTATACCAATTCTCTAAAATCTCTTTCAGAAGATAGAAGTAAAAACAAAACAATCAGGATTTATCCTATGAGCCCTGATTTATCCTATGAGGCCAGCATTACCTAATACCAAAACCAAACAAAGACATTGCAAGAAAAGAAAACTACAGACCAATATCTCTCATGAACATAGATACAAAAATCCTTTGCAAAATATTAACATACTAAGTCCAAGAATGTAAAAAAGAATTATATATCACAACCACAAGATTTATCCCAAGTATGCAAGGCTGGTTCAACATTCAGAAATCAATTAACATAATCGATCACATGAACAGGTTAAAGAAGAAAAATAACACTATATCGTTTTTGTTGTTGTTGTTTGTTTTTTGTTTTTTTAGACAGTCTCACTCTGTACCAGGCTGGAGTGCACTGAAACAATCTTGGCTCACTGCAAACTCTGCCTCCCGGTTTCAAGTGATTATTGTGCCTCAGCCTCCCAGATTGCTGGAATTACAGGTGTGGGCCACCACACCCAGTTAACTTTTTTTATATTTTTAGTAGAGACAGGGTTTTGCCATGTTGACCAGGCTGGCCTTGAACTCCTGGCCTCATGTGATCCACCCACCTCGGCCTCCCAAAATGCTGAGATTACAGATGTGAGCCACTGCACCCAGCCTATCAATAGATGCAGAAAATGCCTTTGACAAAGTCCAATACCCACCCATGATAAAAACTCTCAGGAAACTAGGAATAGAGGGGAACTTGCTCAATTTGATCAAGAATATCCACTAAAAACCTATAGCTAACATTATACTTCATGGTGAGAAACTTAAGGTTAAGAAACTTAAGGTTAAGACCATAATGGCAAGGATGTCCCCTCTCACCACTCCTTTTTGTCATCATACTGGAAGTCCTAGCTAATGCACTAAGACAAGAAAAGGAAATAAAAGGGATACAGACTGGGAAGGAAGAAATAAAACTCTGTTCATAAATGACAGGGTAGTCTATGTCAAAAATCCAAAAGAATCAACAAAAAAATCCTGGAACCAGTAAGCAATTATAGTAAGGTTACAGGACACAAGGTTAATATACAAAATCAATTGCTTTCCTATATACCAGCAATAAGCAAGTGGAATTTGAATTTAAAAACACAATACCACTTATACTAGCCTCCCAAAACATAAAATACTTAGGTATAAATCAAACAAAATATGTACAAAATCTGTATGAGGAAACCTTAAAAGCTCTGATGACAGAAATTAAAGAACTAAATGGAGAGATATACCATGTTCATGAATAGGAAGAGTTAATATTTGGCCAGTCATGGTGGCTCACACCCGTAATCCCAGCATGTTAGGAGGCCAAGGCAGGAGAATCACTTGAGCCCAAGAGTTCAAGACCAGCCTGGGAAACATAGTGAGACTCTGTCTCTCCAAAAATTTTAAAAATTCACCAGGCATAGTGGTGTGCTCCTGTTGTCCCAGCTACTCAGTAAGCTGGGGCAGAGAATCACTTGAGTCCAGGATTAAGGCTGCAGTGAGCCATGATCACACCACTGCACTCCACCCTGGGAAATAGAGTAAAACCCAGTCTCAGAAAAAAACAAAACAAAAACCCTCAATATTTTCATATCAATTCTTCCCAACATGAGTTATAGATTCATTGCAATCCCAGTCAAAAACCTGGCAAGTTATTTTGCATAAATATTTTTAAAAACTAATTCTAAAGTTTATATGGAGAGGCAAAAAGGCCTAGAATAGGCAACACAATATTAAAGGAAAAAAACTAAGTTGGAGAACTGACACTACCTTACTTCAAGACTACGAAGCTCCAGTAATTAAGGTAGTGTGCTACTGATGAAATAATAGACCAACATATCAAAGGAACAGAATTCAGAACCCAGAAACAGACCCACATAAACATAATCAACTGATCTTTGACAAAGAAGCAAAGGAAATACAGTGGAACAAAGATCATCTTTTTAACAAACAAGGCTAGACCCGGACATGAAAAAAAAAAAAAATGAATCACAGGGGCTAAATGTAAAGTAAAAAACTATAAAACTCCTACAGGATAATAACATAGGAGAAAACCTAGATGATCTAGGGATTTGTCTTGTCTAGAGACAGGTCTCGCTCTGTTGTCCAGGCTGAAGTGCAATGGCATGACCATAGCTCACCACAGCCTCAAAGTCCTGTGCTCAAGGGAGTCTCCCACCTCAGCCTCCTGAGTAGCTGGACTACAGGAGCACACCACCACATCAAGTTTGTTTATTTATTTATTTAGACTAAGATGGTAGGCCATAAAATAAGTCACAATAGATTGAAAAGGATTAAAATGATTGAGACAAATTCTGACTATAATGAAATTAAATTAGAAATCAAGAGATCTGCAAAATCCCCAAATGTTTAGAAGTTAAACATGCTTGTAAGTAAACGTGCTTGTAAGTAATCAATGAGTCAAAAAAGAAATCACAGGAAGACAAGAAAATATTTTGAACTGAATTAAAATGAAAACACAGTATATCAAAATTTGTAAGATGGAGCTACTGCAGTGCTGAAAAGGAAATGTATAGCTTAAATTGTATTAGAAAAAAGGTATAAAAATCAATGGTTTAGGCTTCTACTGTAAATAGCTACAGAACAAATTAAACCCAAAGTATGTATAAGAAAGAAAATAGGCTGGGTGTCGTGGCTCATGCACTTTGGGAGGCCGAGGCAGACCGATCACCTGAGGGCAGCAGTTCAAGACCAGCCCGACCAATATGGAGAAACCCCATCTCTACTAAAAAAATACAAAATTAGCTGGGCGTGGTGGCACATGCCTGTAATCCCAGCTGCTCAGGAGGCTGAAGCGGAAGAATCGCTTGAACGTCAGAGGCGGAGGTTGTGGTTGAGCCGAGATCGTGCCACTGCACTCCAGCCTGGGCAGCAAGTGTGAAACTCCATCTCAAAAAAAAAAAAGAAAAGAAAAGAAAGAAAATAATAAAGAAGAAAAAAATCAAATAACAGACAATGAACATTGAAAATCAGTGAAATCAAATACTGGTTATTTTACTGTAAAACATAACACAATAGAAAAGTACACAAACAAAAAAATACATATACAACACAATGATTTATCAAATACCATGAAACTACCACATGGTCTTTGAAGAAAGACCATGACCAGCACCCAGAGGCATCCTCCCATCATGTCCCCTCCCAATTCTGTCTTTCCTGAAGTAATGACTATCCTAACTCATGCAAATAACTTCCTTGCTTTTCATTACCACCAATGAAGGCACCTAAGAACTTGAAAGTCCAGAGTTATTTTACCTATTTTTTTAAACTTGATATAATTCAATATGTACTAGATATGTTTGTTGGCCATTCACATATCTGCCTTTGTGTGTTCAAATCTTAACCAAGCTGCCTTTGAAAAGATGAGAAAAAAAAGCTGACAACCTTCTACCTATGCTAAGCAAGGCAAGAGAAGTCTCAAATTACCAACATTAGCAATAAAAGGAAGGACATAAGTAGAAATCTTACAGATATTAAAATAGGAAAACATCATGAACAACTTTATGTTAATTAGACAACCTACTTTACACAAAATAACTAAACCAGCTAGGTGTATAGGAATATGCCAAAATAGGCCGGGCACAGTGGCTCATACCTGTAATCCCAGCACTTTGGGAGGCTGAGGTGGGTGGATCACCTGAGGTCGGGAGTTCAAGACCAGCCTGGCCAACATAGTAAAACCCTATCTCTACCAAAAATACAAAAAGTAGCTGGGTGTGGTCGTGCACGACTGTAATCCCAGCTACTTCAGAGTCTGAGGCATGAGAATCACTTGAACTTGGGAGGCTGAGGTTGCAGTGAGCCAAGATCACACCACTGCATTCCAGCCTGGGCAACAGAGTGAGACTTCATTTAAAAAAAAGAAAAAATAATAAGTATTTGTATGTATGTATGTATATATACTTTTTTCCCCCCAAAATAAATACTTAAGGAAATTTCTTACCTTTTAAAAACCTTCCAAACTGTTCCTAGACTCATGTGAAACCCTAAGTCATTTAAAAGAGAGGACTACACGTCAAGTTAGGCCCCCAAAAACATCTTTAAGTGCCTATAATGTGTGCTACACACTGAGAATTCAAATTAAAGATACGGTTTTTTCTTACAGTTGTACAATCTCCATGTGGCTTCATGTGGCTTCATGAAGTTATTAAAAAATAAACTAGATTTATTAAAGATCATAATGCTATCATTTATTGAAGAAAAAAAGCAAAATTGTGATGGGGGAGGAAAGACAGCTTGGCAACATTCCTTTTAAAGTTAAGTTAGCATAAAGAAAACAGTATTTATTAAATGAAATAGATTTTCAAGGTAGGAAAAGAATGTATTTTTGGATACAAAAATTCAGTTACACAATCAGTAGCATTCAAAATTAGTTATGAGTATTTATACAATTACAAAAAAGGATTCATGTTTCAACAAAGTGTTTTAAAAGCTCAAACATTTTAAAACAGGCACAATATTCTAAAGGCATATAAATTCACCAAGGGCTTTTGAATGTCCTCACTCCCAACTTCATAATCAAAATTTACAGAAGCAGCAAAAGATCAGAGTTCAGAGGGCTATTTTTTTCCCTTTCCTTATTTAAGGTTGCAAACACATTGACAAAGGCAAAATAAACACCTTTCATAGCAGAAAGACCAAAAAATTGAATGTAAACTATAGCTCTCCCTTAGGAGATTAAACAAATACAAGGTTCATTTGTACTTAGAACAAGGCTCATAACTTCTTGTAGCATGGACATTCAACAGGCACAGAGCAACATTCACCCAAATACCAGCTGCAATTTGTTCTTTAAGGATGCTTCACAAGGATATTATGTCCAGGTAGCCAGTACATATCAGGGACCAGCTGTCCTTTTGTTGTTTGTGGCTATTTATTAAATGTAGTCGCATTACTTTGTTGTGAATATGTACCATCATTTGCTACAATGCTATGAACTGACCTTTAATTTTACTTTTTTTAGCAAATTATTCCAAATCCTGAATAACATTTCATTTTAAACAGCAAAGTTTCTCCCGTCTAGTGGACTCATGGTTACAGATCATCCTGTCTACAGAAAATCATTTTGTACATTTCTAAGCCCATTATCAGTTTATCTACTCCTGCTAGAAAACGACATAATTTGTTGTCAATTTACATTAACAAAGGCACTGCTACTCCCCATTTATCTCGCTGCTACAAAAACTGGTAAGTCAAGGGTAAAGCTTAAGTAACAGGGACTATGAATTTAGAGTAGAAGTGAAAGTAACCAAAGTGGAACTAAATACCCTATTCTTGAATGAACTGAGATCAAGTAAACTTCGCCAGACTTTCTTCTTAACTATAGAACTATTAACCCAAGGTAAAGTCACACAATTTTACCTCCCAACAGACTTTTAAAATAAAAATTTCCAAAAACTTTAGATGTCTAGGTTTTGTTATATCTTACCAAGAGTTACACAGTCGTAAATCTGTATTTAACTTCAGCTACACATCTATTCACTTTTTAAAAACGCTGTCTGCAAATAAACTACTGGACATCTTAAGCTTACTAAAAAAAACTTAAGATTTTTAAATTAAAAAAAAAAAACTAGAATAAAAATCTAGCAAATAGCTTCATGTATCTTTAAACACTGATTCTTAAAAATTTATATGCTGGCCGGGCACAGTGGCTCAAGCCTGTAATCTCAGCACTTTGGGAGGCCGAGACGGGCGGATCACGAGGTCAGGAGATCGAGACCATCCTGGCTAACCCGGTGAAACCCCGTCTCTACTAAAAAAATACAAAAAATTAGCCGGGCGAGGTGGCGGCGCCTGTAGTCCCAGCTACTCGGGAGGCTGAGGCAGGAGAGTGGCGTGAACCCGGGAGGCAGAGCTTGCAGTGAGCTGAGATCCGGCCACTGCACTCCAGGCTGGGGGACAGAGCCAGACTCCGTTTCAAAAAAAAAAAGAAAAAAAAAAACACAAACAAAAAAATTTATATGCTGAAAATGAGGTTTGAGAATAGGTATTTTAAACTATTTATAATCCTACAGTCGATTCTAGTCAGAAGTTATCTGAGCAAAGAGAAAATAAACAAAGCCTGGCGTAAACAGTCCCATAGAAAATAGAACCCACAGCCATGGGGCTGCCCTTCAATTTCCCAATTCATTCCACTAAGTCTCATGATGCAACATCTGTCACTTTCATAGGGAAAACAGAAGCCAAGCCAGATCCTCCATACTTTAAGATATGGTCCCTTATTATCTATTTTAACAGAAGTATCAAAAAGCGATTTTTTAAATTTATTTATTTATTTTTGAGACAGAGTCTCGCTCTGTTGCTCAGGCTGCAGTGCAGGGGCATGATCTCCTCCTGGGTTCAAGCAATTCTTGTGCCTCAGCCTCCCTCCCAAGTAGGTGGGATTATAGGCACACACCAGTTACCCTGGCTGATTTTTTTGCTGTTGTTATTTTTTGTAGAAATGGGGTTTCGCCATGTTGGCCAGGCTGCTCTTGAACTCCCGGCCTCAAGCGATCCACCCACCTCAGCCTCCCAAAGTGCTGGGATTACTTTGGGAGTGTGAGCCACTGCACCCAGCCAAAAAGTGATTTTATTTGGAAAGCATTTCATGATTTTATTTCTTGCTCCCTGAGCATGCAGTGATTAGGGTGGATGGGAGGTGGCACTCAGGCAGATAATTCACAAAGTCACCACACAAGAGTGATAGATGATCCAGCACTGAGATAATCAACCCAGTGAAAATGCTACACTGGGGACAACGTTTTGCCCTTTCCAGAGACAAGATATCTTGAGCTGGGGTCTGAGCTACGGCTATTAGAGGAGCAGAATTGAAGGCTCCCTTTGAGCCCACTCTGCAAATGGGGATGCATTTCAGATAATGAGACAAGAGATGGGATTGAGTTAGTACACAGCACGTCCAATACCCAACAAGCAGCCTCAGAGAGACTGGGACAAGAGGGAGTGGGGACTGGAAGCCATCTCTTCTGGTCTGAAGGGCAGTGCTCCTCCCAAGACAGCATTCAGAGAGCCAACAGCCCAGGGCAGATCATGCCAGGACAGTGCTTCCACATGGCTGGCTGAGTACCACATTCCCATCTGCAAAAGAGTCACCTTATTGGTTCCCTTAACTTCCAAAATGCAGCGAGCCCTCCTTCACCCAGCAGTGAACAGAAGAGAAGGGAATGCAGGTCAGCAGGGAGATAGAGACCATTATTAACCACAGGTCTGAAACCCTAATTCTTTACTCACTCATCAGGTTGCTTTTAACCACTGCTGTTGCTTGGTAACAGGTTTCAGCAGATTTGAAATGGATTTCTTCCTCCCACAGTCTAACAAAAACAAGTAGGGAAACAACTAAAGAACAAGGCAACTTAAGGAAAACCCTGGGAGGCAGGGTCATGCAAAAGCTGCTTATGGTGACCTGACAGGAGCTGTCCGACTAAACTGGCCACAGGCAGTGAGTGAAAGCAAAGCAGAAGCCTTTCTACAAAGCCCATCTCCTGCCAAGAACCCCTCCCTGACGCCTCCAATGGTGGGGTCTGGGATAGGCTCTTTACCCTGTCAGAGGATGGAGGCAATACCATTCACTGGGCAGTCGCTGTGAATACTGAATGAGAAAAAACATGGCAGTGTCCACAGGGCCAGGCACATCGTACTAGATAAGTATTTGTTAGATAAACTAATGATTAGAGACATTCACTCTCACCTTCCAAAGTTGCCAGTTATTTTCTGGGATTAAGTAACACCTACCCTACTGAGGCTCTACTTATGCCAAGCCCTATTCTAAGCACTTAACATGTCTTACTGACATCTTGCAATGACCCAGCAGGAATTGTTAGTCCCACAATTTTTAAACAGATGAACAAACTGAGGAACCAGAGGTTAGGTAACTTGTTCAATATGACACAACTAGTATATGACTAGTCCCAGCTCACACCCAGATGCAACTGACTTCAAAGACTACATTCACTACTATTATGCTATAAAGCCTATAAAGCCCTGGTGACATCTTAGTACCCTGGCCTCATGTCCCACAAAGTCAATCCAGGGATTAAAAAAGACATGGGGCTGGGCGCGGTGGCTCACGCCTGTAATCCCAGCACTTTGGGAAACTAAGGCAGGCGGATCACTTGAGATCAGGAGTTCGAGACCAGTCTGGACAACATGGTGAAACCCCATTTCTACTAAAAATACAAAAATTAGCTGGGTGTGGTGGCACATGCCTGTAGTCCCAGCTACTTGGGAGGCTGAGGCACGAGAATCGCTTGAACCCGGAAGGCAGAGGTTGCAGTGAGCTGAGATCATGCCACCGCACTCCAGCCTGGAAAACTGAGGGAGACTCCGTTTCAAAATTAAAGCAGTGTGTAGAGGGAAATTTACAGCACTAAATGCCCACAAGAGAAAGCAGGAAAGATCTAAAATCGACACCCTAACATCACAATTAAAAGAACTAGAGAAGCAAGAGCAAACAAATTCAAAAGCTAGCAGAAGACAAGAAATAACTAAGATCACAGCAGAACTGAAGGAGATAGAGACCACGAAAACCCATTCAAAAAACCAATGAACCCAGGAGCTGGTTTTTTTAAAAGATCAACAAAATAGATAGACCGCTAGTCAGACTAATAAAGAAGAAAAGAGAGAAGAATAAAATAGGCACAATAAAAAATGGTAAAGGGAATATCACCACCTATCCCACAGAAATACAAACCATCAGAGAATATTATAAACACCTCTACGCAAATAAAGTAGAAAATCTAGAAGAAATGGATAAATTCCTGGACACATACACCCTTCCAACACTAAACCAGGAAGAAGTCAAATCCCCGAATAGGCCAATAACAAGTTCTGAAATTGAGGCAGTAATAGCCTACCAACCAAAAAAAAGTCCAAGACCAGACGGATTCACAGCCGAATTCTACCAGAGGTACAAAGAGGAGCTAGTAGCATTCCTTCTGAAACTATTCCAAACGATAGAAAAACAGGGAATCCTCCCTAACTCAATAGATGCAGAAAAGCATTCAACAAAATTCAACAGCCCTTCATGCTGAAAACTCTTAATAAACTAGGTATTGATGGAACATATCTCAAAATAATAAGAGCTGTTTATGGCAAACCCACAGCCAATGTCATACTGAATGGGCAAAAACTGGAAGCATTCCCTTTGAAAACCAGCACAAGACAAGGATGACCTCTCTCACCACTCCTATTCAACATAGTATTGTAAATTCTGGCCAGGGCAATCAGGCAAGAGAACAAAATAAAGGGTATTCAATTAGGAAAAGAGGAAATCTTAAATGTAAGACCCAAAACCATAAAAACCCTAGAAGAAAACCTAGGCAATATCATTCAGGACACAGGCATGAGCAAAGACTTCATGACTAAAACACCAAAAGCAATGGCAACAAAAGCCAAAATAGACAAATGGGATCTCATTAAACTAAAGAGCTTCTGCACAACAAATGAAACTATCATCAGAATGAACAGGCAACCTACAGAATGGGAGAAAATTTTTGCAATCTATCCATCTGACAAACGGCTAATCTCTAGAATAGAGATTAAACAAACATAGAACTTAAACAAATTTATAAGAAAAAAACAAACAACCCCATCGAAAAGTAGGCGAAGGATATGAAAGACACTTCTCAAAAGAAGACATTTATGTGACCAACAAACATATGAAAAAATGATCATCACTGGTCATTAGGGAAATGCAGATCAAAACCACAATGAGATACCATCTCATGCCAGTTAGAAAGGCAATCATTAAAAAGTCAGGAAACAACAGATGCTGGAGAGGATGTGAAGAAATAGGAATGCTTTTACACTGTTGGTGGGAGTGTAAATTAGTTCAACCATTGTGGAAGACAGTGTGGTGAGTCCTCAAGGATCTAGAACTAGAAATACCATTTGACCCAGAGATCCCATTACTGGGTATGTACCCAAAGGGTTATAAATCATTCTACTATGACACATGCAAACTGCAGCACTGTTCACAACAGCAAAGACTTGGAACCAACCCAAACGTCCATTAATGATAGATTGGATAAAGAAAATGTGGCATATATACACCATGGAATAGTATGCAGCCATAAAAAAAGACGAGTTCATGTCCTTTGTAGGGACATGGATGAAGCTGGAAACCATCATTCTCAGCAAACTATCGCAAGAACAGAAAACCAAACACCACATGTTCTCACTCATAAATGGAAGTTGAACAATGAGAACACATGGAAAAAGGAGGGGAACATCACACACCGGGGCCTGTTGGGGGATGGGGGGCTAGGGGAGGGATAGCATTACATGTATATCTATGTAACAAACCCGCATGTCCTGCACATGTACCCCAGAACTTAAAGTATAATAAAAAATAATTTCCAGAATCTCGTATAAAAAAAGACTAAAATTTAAAATGCAGTTTATGTAAAAGACCAACAGAACTTAAAGATAATCACTGTAAGTGACTTACAGCAAAAATTCAAAAAATGAAAAAGACTAGTGTACTACAAGACTACCTGAAAAAAAAGAAATAATATCACAGAGTATCAAAAACTTGAATGGGAACAAAAACTCTGCAGTTTGAGATTTCTGATAGTCATGAAAAAGAAGACCTGTTGATGTAAAACCACTTGATATAAAATGAAATTGCCAGGCTCAGGCTGGAAATAGACACAATGAAAAATCAAATGCTGGAAAAGAAATACCTAAAAGACATTGAAATTATAAAAAGAAAGCATGAAGACCTCAAAAGGCTCTAAAACAGAATGGGGAAACATCAACAAAAGCGATAGCCCATTATAGTGGACAGCTTACTGCTCTGACAGATGAGAACACAATGCTCCGTTCCAAACTGGAGAAGGAAAAACAAAGCAGGCAAAGACTGACGAAATGGAATCATACCATCGTAGACTGAATGCTGCTCTACGTGATCATGATCAAAGTCACTCAACAGAAAGAGACCAAGAGCTTGATGTCCAGGGCACGGTAGAGAAATTGTGTCATTTACAGGAAAATTTGAATTCTCATGTTCTGATTCTTTCTCAACAACTTTCTAAAGCTAAGAGTAAGTTCTGGGTCCTCAAAACTGAGCTCCATTACACGAGACGCTCTGAAAGAAAGGCTTTGGTTTTTGAACACATACAAAGAGAGCTAAACCAAACAGTGTCAAATGAAGGACATTGAAAAAATGTACACAAATGGCCAAGATAAAGTAGAAAAATGCACAGAAAAGCAAGTAAGATTATGTCAACTACAAAGACAAACTATGTTGCTTCAACAGCAACTGGATGATGTTCACAACAAAGCTGACAATCAAGAAAAAATAGTAATTGATATTCAAGCCAAACGTGATGCTACAGTACAAAATCTTCAGGCTGAGTGCATAAAGCACAGTCTTTTGCTAGAAGAGTAAGAGGATGATCAATAAAGTTAATCATTTGAAAGAAAAACAATGTCAATATGAAAGAGAGAAAGCAGAAAGAGAAGTAGTTGTGAGACAACTTCAACAAAAACAGAGTGATGTCCTAAACAATCAACAAAAGCTTCGCTGGATGCTTCATTGCGTCACTGCATCCGTTGAGGAAGTGAGATGCAAGATTCAAGGAAGAAATTAGGCCAGATGAGAATTCAATTTCAAGAAAAACAGTATCAACTTACAGCAACTATGAGATGTACTAAGGAGACGCAAGGCCACATACAAAAGCTCGAAACAGAAAATTCCATGTTAAGAAATACAATTAAAAAGCAAGATGGCCAAATTGAGCAGCTTCAGAAAATCCTGTGAAGTTCAATGCAGCAGTTGTTGAAAGAAAATGAAACTACAGAAACAGATGAAGCTTATTCTGAATTTAAATCTGGATCCTCTACAGCAGAGGTCCCCAACCTGCAGGCCACGGACAGGTCCATGACCTGTCAGGAACCAGCTACACAGCAGGAGAGTTACTGTGGATCTTCTAGATTATCTGCATGCCACGTTTTAATTTCCACAAAAAACAAAACAAACAAACAAACAAAAACGCCTGCTTGGCTTTGGATGGGGACTGCACTATATCTATAGATTAATATGGGAAAGAATTAACATCAACAATGTTGAGTCTCTCAGCCTATGAACAAGATACTTAAGTCTTCTTTAATTTTTCTTAGCAATGCTTTTTAGTTATCAGTGTACAGATATTCCACATAGTTTGTCAGGTTTATTCCCAAGAATTTTATATTTTAATGCTATTGTAAATAGTATTATTTTTAAATTTTCAATTCCTAATTCTTCTAACAGAGAAACATAACTGATTTTTGTGTATCGATTATATATCCTGCAGTGTTGCAAAACTCACTTGCTGGTTTCAGTAACCTGGTAATGGATTTTATTTGGTTTTCTACATAGATGATAATATCTGTGAATAGACAGTTTTACTTATTTATTTTCAATCTAAAGGCCTTTTATTTTTCTCCTTCCCTCCCTCTTTCCCCCAACTCCCAATTAAAACATGATTGCAGTGGCTAGAATTTCCAGTACAATGTTGAATATAAGTGGTAAGAGTTGACCTCTCTGTCTTATTCTCAATCTTAGGGGAAAACATTCAGCCTTTCATCATTACAAAGGATGTTAGCAGAAGATATTTTAAAGATGCCCTTCAATAGGTTGAGGAAATTCTCTTGTATCCCTAGTTTGCTGAGATTATTTTTTAAATAAAGAATGGTTGTTCAATCTCAAAAAAAAAAAAAAAAAAAAAAAAAGGACATGAACATGGAGGGGTGAGCCTTCTAGGTGTCTTATTCCAGGTTGCTGGAGCTGCTGGAGCTCAGTGATTAGCCAAGCCTCGTATCAGTTCTAAAGAAAAGGAACCATCAGATTCCTGACCTCCTCCATGCCCCTTCTGACACCACAGCCCTTCTGAGATCTGTCTCCAAGAGGCACCTGGGATGTGAAAGAATCCCACAGAAGCCAAAGGGGTAGCATAAAATTTCCCTTCCTGGCTGAGGACAGGTTAGGGATCTGAGCAGATGACTGGATGCTGTCAATAGCCTAGAAAGAACCTGGGAAGACTAGCTCCTCTCTCTGGCCCCGTCAGGCTTATTCACAGCTCCCCAGCCTCAGAAGACAAGACTGGCAGGGCACAGTGGCTCACACCTGTAATCCCAGCACTTTGGGAGGTCGAGGCGGGTGGATCACCTGAGGTCAGGCATTTCAGACCAGCTTGGCCAACATGGTGAAACTCTGTCTCCACTAAAAACACAAATATTAGCACAGGCATGGTGGCAGGCACCTGTAATCCCAGCTACTTGGGAGGCTGAGGCAGGAGAATTGCTTGAACCCAGGAGGCGGAGGTTGCAGTGAGCCGAGATCACACCACTGCACTCCAGCCTGGGTGACAGAGTGAGACTCCATCTCAAAAAGAAAAGATAAAAAAAGACCAGTCAGTCTGAGTTCTTAGCCACAGTAGGACAAAGAAAGGTTCAGCAATTAGCCGCAAGCAAGGAGACAACCATCAGGTCACTTCCTTCAGTTTAGTGGTGACAGAGGAGGAGCCCTAGTGGACCAGTTGGCCCTGTGCAAAGAGCAGAAAGGCAATCCAGATAAATGTAATTTGTAGGATGACTCTGGAAGTCCTGGAGGGCCAGGAACACTGGCTGACAAGACAGGGTACTAATGGTGGTCAGGCAACAAGGAGGAGCTGACAGGGAACACAAGGGACAGTGAACATCCTACAGATCCAGGAAGAAGCTTCCAAAAGAGATGGGCAGGGACAGCCAGGTAGGAGATGGCTTGGCTGATGAAAATGGGGAAAACAGTCATAGGCAGTTACAGGAGGCACAACCAGAAACAGGCCAGAAAACCCTGGGTCATGAAGGAGGCTGAAGCTGTGGCTTTGGGTGGACCCAAAAACCAATGTGGGCCTTGATTCCCTTGACTGAACAGTGGGATAACAATCCCTGCTTCCTTACAAGGCTGTCCATAAGAACCAGGTAAGATCATGGACACGAAAGCACTTTGTAGGTTAGACATCAGGCTGATAAGAGACCACCTGCAGTTTATGGGATCCTCCCCAGTGTCCCCAGCACAGGCTGAGTGCAAACACCAGGACTATTTAAAGGTCACTGGGCAGGCGTGCCTACTTCCTGTTGGCCGCACAGCAGGGATCTGTCTTCCCACCCCACTCTCCCCTGGCCCAACGCCAGGGGAGAACGGAAAATAAAATCAGTTTAAAAGCAAACATTTATAAATAATGAAGAAAAAAAATATAGCTGAGAACAGCAGGATTTTCACCTCTTATGGGCTCTTGTCCAAAAAGAAATAGCAGTGTTTTCTGCTGCTGCTCTGTTCTTTCCCCATCTAGTGCCAGGAGGTCATAAAGAAAGATATGTAGGGAGAGGGAGGGAGGGATGGGAAATAAAACCCAAGAGAAAAAGAGCCTTCACCTAATGTCAGAAAATACATTCCACAGTCAGGCGTAGAATCAGAACACCAAGAATGCTTAGATTCAAATTCCAAAACAGCATATACCACCAAAAAGTGCTTCTTTTCTACCTCACTCCACGGCCAGGCTCTTCAGGGGCTTGCGTAAAGCAGAGTCACTTGTTCTTAGATGCCAGAGGAGAAGCAGACTCACTCTATGCAGGACAGTGGTGATGGTTTCCACGCTGAGGGACAACTGGACCCCAAAACTCTGTCCCTTACTGTTGCTCCCCTGTGATCTCTGATGGGGCTGCCTTTTGCCACCTGGGAATCACTTGCACCCAAGGGTTATCTGCTGCTGCTGAACAGGTTTGTATTCATGGGAATTCAGTGGGACAACATCCAGAGAGGAAACAGGTACGTGAGGAAGATTCCATTCCACAAGATATAGAACCCACTTCTCATCCTGTGCTACTGACATTCAGGTTCGAGAATGTATTGTTGCTTCCAAAAGTAACACTCAAATGTTCGAATCACAAGCAACACATTGCTGCAAGATAAAAGGCACATGTCTGTAAGACAGAGGTTTCGAAGATAGTTACAAAACTGTCCACCAGCTTCTGTCCATAGTGCCTTCCAAAGCTTCGCAAAACTGGCCATGAATTATGCAAGACACACGGCAAAACACTTCTTCACAGCATCCCTAGGAAAGAAAAGACACAAAGATGAGTGGGACGTCGTCACCCCAAAGGCACTTTAGAGGGCACCCAAAGTGGAAGCTGCAGAGTAGAAAGCACCTAGATTGAAAGATCAGACCTACACAGCATCAAACTGCAGCTTCAACATTTATTAGTAGTACTATCCTGGGAAAGTTCCTTGTCCTGTTTGAGTTCCAAATTCCTCATCTGTAAGAGGGGATGTCCCCACTTACTCCACAGTCTGATTATGGGAATAGTCATCATAATCAGAGAAAAAGATAATACAGACTATCAGAAACTAAGAAGTCAGTCAGGACTGCTGCACTTCAATATCGGCCAAAATCACAGAATGCACTGAGAGCATTAAATATTAACTGGGACCTTTCTTCATTCTAAGCAGGCAGCAGAAGGGAGCCCACTATGGGTTCTCAGCACTTATTAATACACTATATTAGTCTCATCACAGATATATACTGCTTGGAATTCAGTGTAGAGGGTGCAAGGAAGAGTTGGTCTTCAAGAAATTACTATTCTACCCAAGCAAGCACCTCCATTTCCACCACCACACCACATTGTGCAATGTGGCACTAGGCTTCTCATACCCCAGTTCTGTTCCACGTTCTCAACTGTGCTGCACTAAGGACACTGGGAGTCACATAAGGGAGGGAGAGGGGAATGGATGCATTTCCATGAATAGACACTGCATTTAATATCAAGATGATTCCAGGGCAGCATTTCTTGAGATACACTCTGCACTGTAGTCCCAGAAGAGTCTCTGCACAAGAAGGGTTTTATGGCCACGTAAGTCCCCCTCATGGCAGCTCACAATACACATAGCATATGGAAGGATCTAGCAAGCCAGGCAAAGAGGAACTTACCTAATTTTGCTTAACCTGTTTCTCAGATTACTTGATTATAGAACTCTTTTCTTCCACAGAAACACTTTCTGTGGAACACCATGGGAAAAGCTATTCTAGGGGAACTTACAAATAGAAGGGTGGGGCCAGGCATGGTGGTTCACGCCTGTAAGCCCAGCACTTTGGGAGGCTGAGGCAGGCTGATGACTTGAGGTCAGGAGTTCGAGACCAGCCTGGTCAACATGGTGAAACCCTGTCTCTACTAAAAACACAAAAAATGAGCCTGGAGTAGTGGCGTGCGCATGGAGGCTGACGCAGGAGAATAGCTTGAACCCGGGAGGTTGGAGACTGAGGTGAGCTGAGATCGGGTCACTGCACTCCAACCTGGGCCATAGAGTGAGACTCCATCTCAAAAAAAAAAAATAGAAGGGTGGGATCTAGCTCTGTGATTCCCTCCCTACTAGAGGAGTAATTCATTTGCTCAGCACATGAAACTCACTATCTCAAATAAAATTCCATCATTCTATGAATCACTTGTACATAAATTTTATACATGCCAATCCAGATCAAGCCTGAAGCTCTGATGAATGACTCCAAGCAAGTTTCACGAATGAGACCTGTGCAACTGCATTGGCCCTATACTTAGAAGGGTTCACATTGGGTTTCATGCCTTGATTTGATGATGTTGCCATCTGGAAATTCATAATCTTTTTTTTTTTTTGAGATAGAGTCTCGCTCTGTTGCCCAGGCTGGAGTGCAATGGTGTGATCTCAGCTCACTGCAACCTCCGCCTCCCAGGTTCAAGAGATTCTCCTGCCTCAGCCTCTTGAGTAGCTGAGATTACAGATGCGGGCCACCACGCCCGGCTAATTTTGGTATTTTTAGTAGAGACAGGATTTCACCACATTGGTCAAGCTGGTCTTGAACTCCTGACCTCAGGTGATTCACCCGCCTCGGCCTCCCAAAGTGCTGGGATTATAGGAGTGAGCCACCGCGCCCGGCCTATGATTTTTGAACAAGAAGCTCACATTTTTATTTTGCACTGGACCCTGA